TCACTGACACCGCCCGGCAGCTCCATTTGCATCTCTGACATAGCCGTTGCTGACCCTTGCGCAAACGTCCCTCCACAGTCTTGGCAGCGAAGCTGAAATTGCTCCACGCCTGCAGTTTGCGCAGTCAGCCCCGCCTGCTCGCTCACGGCGTGCAGAAACTCGAGGCTATCCTCCTGCTCTCCGTGATACCACTTCTGTAAAATTGTCTCAGGATTCACTATGGAGGAGCACTGCAGCCGATGCAACAGAGCCAGGAGATCCACGGCAACCTCACCGTCTAAGCGCCTGAGCATGCGTCGCCAAGGCGTCACGGTGTAGAGCGCCTGCAGGGCTGCATTGATGAAGCAGCTGTTGCCTGCGTTCACCAGTCCCCCACGCTGAGCCCCGCATTCCACTGCGTCGTCGGGAGGACAAAAACCAACCCACGTCGTTGGACCTGGGATGCGCTTGAACTGCACCGGCTCTGGCAGACGACGCAGTTCGATGAGTGGCCAGAGATGCGTTTGCCTGTACGGCAGCGCATCCACGGCAACGCCGTGTTCACCTTGGTAATCTCGGAACTCCTCCAAGCTCCCTGCGACGAAGGATTGTCCGAAGCGACCCCACGCATGGACCCAGCCATCGACACCCAGCCAAGCACCGCCCGGTGTGCATGCTAGATGCCGCACCTCCATCGTTTTCTCCTTTCGTAGAACCTGCTGCAGGATCTCACGTTTTTGAAACAGCAGAATTCGCTCACCTGGACTCGGGTCCGTGTCTCCGATGGGGTGCTTTCTGGGCAGCGCCTTTGCCGCGTCGATGAGCGGCTGCCCCTGCTCTTGCTCTGACGATACGAGCGGGGGGCACGACATGTCACGGAAGCCTCTGCGCAACAAGTGTCTTCACAACACACACCTACAAACAGCGGCGGCTGAATGCAACACTGAAATGATTGCGCATGTGCGCAAGACGGACGCATCCACGTCTGCGGCTCACTGCAATTTAGCCCCCGACGCTGGCCGTCGGCATGACCACGTTCCAGCCATCAGCGCTCCTGCAGGCCATCTTGCATTTTCAATGTCTCGCCCTCTCCCCCCCCCCCCCGCCCCACAACAGGTCTCGTGCGCTCGGTTGACCCGAGCACGCGCCAGACAGGCCACCCTTGAGGACCCCCTGTCCCCTCTTGCCCTCGTCCCCTTTTTGTGTTTGTTGGGATGTAATCAGAACTTGTAAACTGTGTAAAAGCACCTGCGTGTGGTCAAGAAGCCTTGCCTCCCTAATTTAATTGGGTCGGGATGTGATCATGTGTCAATGCAGCCAAGGAGCCTTCCGTTTCCCGTTATAGGATTACCCCTTTATTTTGGTGTTCCATAAACTCCTTCGGACAACTTCAGGGAGGTGGAACAATCTTGTCCTGGCCAAGTCTGCTCCGGACTCCTTCATATAGGTGGAACATCCTCCTGGGCAGGTCTGAGCTCTGGAACCCCTTCATATAGGTGGAACGGCCTGAGCTCCGGACTCCTTCATATAGGTGGAACATCCTCCCGGGCAGGTCTGAGCTCTGCAACCCCTTCATATAGGCGGAACGGTCTGAGCTCCGGACCCCTTCATATAGGTGGAACATCCTCTGGGCAGGTCTGAGCTCTGGAACCCCTTCATAAAGGTGAGGTGGAACATCCTCCTGGGCAGGTCTGAGCTCCGGACCCCTTCATATAAGTGGAACGGTCTGAGCTCCGGACCGCTTCATACAGGTGGAACATCCTTCTGGGCAGGTCTGAGCTCTGGAACCCCTTCAAGGTGGAACGGCTGAGTTCATATAGGTGGAAATAGGTGGAACATCCTCCCTGAGCTCTGGAACCCCTTCATATAGATGGTACGGTCTGAGCGCCGGACCCCTTCATATAGGTGGAACATCCTCCCCCTTCATAGAACAGGTCGTGTTGTCCCTTGTGTTGTCCCTCGCTTTGTCCCCATGCGTTGTCCCCTGCGTCGCTTCCTGCGTCGTCCCCCTCCCCGGTCTTGTCCCCCTGTGTTGTCCCCAGCGTTGTCCCCCGCGTCGTCCCCGTGTTGTTTTGTCCTGCGTTGTGTCCTGTGTCGTCCACTGTCTCGTCCCATACGTCGTCCCCTGTCCTGTCCCCTGTGTGGTGCCCGGCGTTGTTCGGTGTTGTCCCCTGCGTTGACCCCGTTGTTTCCTGCGTCCTCCCTTGTGTCCCCTGTGTTGTCCCCTGTGTTGTCCCCTGTGTTGTCCCCTGTCTTGTCCCCTGTGTTGTCCGCTGCGCTGTCCCTTGTGTTGTCCCCTACCTGTTGCCCATGCTGCGTTGTCCCGTGTGTTGTCCCCTGCGTTGTTTCCTGTGTTATCCTCTGCGTTGTTCCCTGTATCGTCCATCCCCTCTCTGCTGCCCCCTGTGTTGTCCCCCACGTCGTCCCAAGCGTCGTGCCACCCCTGCGTCGTCCCCCCGCTGCATCGTCCCCTGCGTCCCCTGCGCCGTCCATCCCCTGCGTCGTCCCTGTGTCGCCTGTCGCCCTGTCCCCCGTCCACTGTCCCCCCTCCTTCTCCCTTGTTCGCTTTATCCCCGTTTTTTGTGTCCCACCTTTCCTCCCCTTCAGCTGTGCCCCTGTCCCGTCCCTCCAGCGCACCTCCATCCCCATGTGCAGCGACAGCCTAGACCCTGAACCGTAATCCTAAACCCTCAAACCTAAACGCGAAGCCCTAAAGCATAGACGTTAAACTCTCTCACCAGTGCCTCCCTCTGCAACCCTACACCCTTGTGCAGCAGCCTTCTGAGGGCTTCGGCTAACAGCGACTAAGCACACCCTTGTGCAGCAGCCTTCTGAGGGCTTCGGCTAACAGCGACTAAGCCCTAAACCTAAGCCCTAAACCCTAAACCCTAAACCCTAAACCCTAAACCCTAAACTTAAACCCTAAACCCTCAAACCTAAGAGCGCAACCCTAAACCATAAACCTTAAACTCTGTCAATGGCGCCCTTGGCTCACACTTGCTGTACAAAGAGGGGAAACACTACTACTAGTTTAAGCCGTCATTTCTCATCGAGTGCCAGTACTCTGTGCCGCGGCGCGGGCCGTGCCAGTTGCGCCACCAGTTCTGCTGCGAGGAGCTCTTTTGATGCCACGACCGCCGGCCTGACTCCTGCTCACGAAGAGGAGGCTGTGGCGCAAGCACGGCCTGTTCCTGCTCGGCCTTCCTTTTCTTGAGTTCCTGCAGACTCTTCTCCGCCTCGACGCGCGCCAGCTTTGTTTCTTCCAGTTTCACTCTAAGGCGAAGGGTCTCAGCTTCGCTGTGCTTGCCTGGCGTCGCCGTGGAGGACTGCAAGGTCGATGCCACTACTTTCACGGCCGGAATGCCGCGGCCAGCACTTGGCGCTGCCGGGGGTGCAGGTGCAGCCTTGCGAGGCTTGCCCGGCTGCGCGAGAGGCTGCAGTGACGATCTCCCAGCTTGTTGCGGTTTGCCGAACTGCGCGGTTGCCTTCGTAGCCTTCTTCGGCTTCACTGCACCAGACTTGGGACACTCGCTCTGTGCAAAATCTACTAGTGGTGTGCGGTTGCAGGTGCATCGATCTTTCCCCCATTTACCGCACCACGCGCATTTACTACGCGTCATCTTTTATGCGTGAGCCGAAACTTCCGGCCGCTTTCGTGCATCTACGCTGCGATTTCCCAAATTTCTTTCGAGTGCTATCGTGCTGAGTTTATATACCTCTTCGTTTCTGTTGCTTAGACTTTCATGTAACCTTGACAGAAACCACAATTTCTATTCATCTCTCAACCTACTTTACCCTGGCCCCTAACCCTGAACCCTCTAACGACATCACCACAGAGCACTGGCCCGCTGACCTGATGGGATCAAGTTTATGAGTTCAGGGTTCAGCTCGAAAGTTGAAAGCTTTATCAAGTTTGCAGATTCGGGTTGCTTGCGCTTTGACGATGCCGTCGCCTAACATAACTGTGTAACTGTATAAAGCTCGGAGGGGGCAGGGATGCCTCGATGGGAAGCGGTTGTAAACGTGGAGGGGGTGGGGAGGGATGGGGGGGGTTGGGGGGGGGAAGGGGAGGGGGGGGGACTTTGGGTTGAGGGGGGGATTGGGGGGGGTGGACGGATCAGCGCAAAAAAAATAGGTCCTGCGGGGGATGGGGGGGGGGGGGGGGGGGGCTGGGGGGGGGATGGGGGGGGGCGGGGGGGACTGCAGGAGGGGGGAACGGGGGGGGGGGGGGGGGATGGGTGGGCATAACAGGAGGACGGATCAGCATAAAAAAAGGACAGGTCAGCATAAAGAAAAAACCGGTGAGGATAACAAGAGAAGTGGTAGCATAACCAAGGGACTCCGGAGCATAAAAAAGGAAACGGTGCAGCATAAGGGATCGGGACGGCTTCCGGGACACACAGAGAATAAGAAAAAAAGCGCATAGCATAAGAAAAAAAACCCAGCCCGTAGGGTTTGTAGGGGTTTGTAGGGGTTTGTAGGGGTTTGTAGGGTTTGTAGGGTTTGTAGGGTCTGTAGGGTCTGTAGGCTTTGCAGGGTTTGTAGCGTTTGGGGTTCGGGGCGTGTGGGGTCTAGGGTTTTGGCGTTTCGGGTTGGGATGTACGGCTTTAGGGTTTGGGGTTTATTTGGAGTCCTTATAGAGAGGGGGGTTTAGGGGGGGGGGGGGGGGGGGGGGGTTTAGGGTTTAGGGTTTAGGGTTTAGGGTTTAGGGTTTAGGGTTTAGGGTTTAGGGCTTAGGGTTTAGGGTTTAGGGTTTAGGGTTTAGGGCTTAGGGCTTAGGGCTTAGGGCTTGGGTTTAGGGTACCTAGGGAACCTTCGGAAACCTTCGGGAGCCTTAGGGAGTAGTGGGGAGCGTTAGGGAATTTGGGTTGCCCACCCCCCCTTGAACCCCCTCCCTTACGAACCCTAAACCCTAAACCCTAAACCCTAAACCCTAAACCCTAAACCCTAAACCCTAAACCCCAAAAACAAAAACCAAAAAAGCATGTCTAAAAATCTGCATGCGCCCCAAGGCCCCCGGCCGCAAAGCCGCCGCCGCCAGGGCGAAGCCTTGGGCACCGGCCTCGCAGGCTTTCGGGTTTTGGGGCGTGGGGTTTAGGGTTTAGGGTTTAGGGTTTAGGGTTTAGGGTTTGGGGTTTAGGGTTTTAGGGGCTTAGGGGTTTAGGGGTTTAGAGGTTTAGGGGTTTAGGGGCTTAGGGGTTTAGGGTTTAGGGTTTTAGGGGTTTAGGGTTTAGGGGTTTAGGGGTTTAGGGTTTTAGGGGTTTAGGGTTTGAGGGGTTTGGGGGTTTAGAGGTGTAGGGGCATGAGGGCTTTGGCCGTTTTTGGGCCGGAGAGTGATTGGGGGTTTTTGCTTCAGGGTGTTGGGGCCTTAAAGGTCTTGGGCTAGGATGGACGGCTTTAGGGTATGGGGTCTAGGTCCTAGGCTTTAGGGTATAGGCTTAGGGTCTGGACATTTCGGAGTACCACCCGACGGCACTGGTGCCACTGTAGGCTCTGCGGGCTCCACTGCCTCCATTGGAGCCGCCAGTGGCGCCTCCATTCATCGGCACCTCCACCACAGGCGCCTCCGGTGGAGGAGGCTCCTCTTCACTCCGCTCCAGCAGGCTTGCCAAAGGCTGCTCGTCCGGGTCCTTGACGGCGCTCACGGCCTTCATGACCAACATGGCCAGAAAGCCCCACAGCCAAGCGTGGAGGAGCTGCATGGCGACTGGCTCTACTGGGCGGTCCGTGGCTACGTGGCACTGGTGCCTTTAATGGTGCTCAACACAAGTGTACATATATTCATCTGTACTTCTTGCATTTCCCTAAACCCTACACCCTAAACCGCATGTTGTTTCTGCATACACACCCTGATCCCGAAACCTCCGGCCCTCAAGCGCACACGTGGCGTGCATGCACACGCGAAACAAGCCCTCTTAACCCTACAGTGAAGCAGACCCCGGAGGAAAAAAATCAAGTAGCTACAATCGGAACCCAAAACCCAAAAAACAACTCCAAACCCTGAACCCTGAACCCTGAACCCTAAACCCTAAACCTAGAAGTGAAGTTACTAAAGCATAGTGCTCCAGAGCCCTCGAAAAGTGGTCAACCCGTCTTTTGTAAGGTGTACGACTTGTCAACACCAAAACCATGGCCGACCACTCCACGCAAAAAGATCACAGGGAGATGCACCCTAAACCCCAAACCCCAAACCCCAAACCCCAAACCCCAAACCCTAAACCCTAAACCCTAAACCCTAAACCCTAAACCCTAAACCCTAAACCCTAAACCCTAAACCCTACCCTAAACCCTGAACCCATTCAGGGTTTTTGGGGTTTCTTCACGTTAAGAACCCTACATGGAGAATCTCAGCAAGCCCGCGCCGGAGAGCAACTATACCGCATGCAGGGTTCCCCTAAGCCCTCAACCCTAAACCTCAGGCACGCCCAAACCCTAACCCCTGAGGGTTTAGGGCTTAGGGTTTAGGGTTTAGGGTTTAGGGTTTAGGGTTTAGGGTTTAGGGTTTAGGGTTTAGGGTTTAGGGTTTAGGGTTTAGGGTTTAGGGCCGCAGGTTGGCAAGAAATGAACTCTGGGCGCCCCCGGCAGCTGGGCAGAAGGTGCCGTAGCTCGTGTCCTCAGGCTCAACCCTAAAGTCGCCAAACCCTAAATCCCAAAACCCCAAATCCCTCAAACCCCCAAATTCCCAAAACCCTCACAACCCGCAGACCCAAAAACCACACCAACAAAACCCGAAAACCCGAAAACCCGAAAACCCGAAAACCCGAAAACCCGAAAACCCGAAAACCCGAAAACCCGAAAACCCGAAAACCCGAAAACCCTAAGCGGGCAAGGAGGGCCCCCCGATTGCGAGAAGTTCGCTAACCCGAAAACCCGATACCCTGAACTCTAAACCTGGTGAAGACAGGGTTCAGGGTTAAGTTTAATTAGTTGGAACGGCTACAAAGGTTTAGGGTTTTGCCCCTAAAGACTAGGCCCTAAACCCGCAAGCCCAAAGCCTAAGCCAGGGTGCAGCTTCCCCTAAACAGAAGCCCTAAACCCGAATGAAACCCCAAACTATTGCTCTGCTTTGTCTCTTCAGAGTCTGAAGGGCAAGCGAACCGACTGCTTTCTCGTCTTCAGACGAACAACCGGGGAAAAGTGTGCCTTGGAGTGGGGCTGTTGCGGCCTGTATCCGTAAAGTCTTCCACGCCTTGTTCAAGCCCGTGCCCTGGTCACTGGCAATCAGATGCGCGTATGACTTCACCTTGCGACTCAGAATGGGCAGGACTTCGTTGAATGCTCCATGCAAAAACCTGAGCCTGTAGCACAACCCTTAACCCTAAACCCTGAAGCCAAAACCCTAAACCCAAAACCGAAACCCTAAACCTTAAACCTGAGAAGCAAAAGCACGTAGGGACGTCGCGGACCCCGAGTCTATTAGGATACTGTAACCCGAGTGACCCCTGCGAAGGCCCCTGGGTTTAGGGTTTAGGGTTTAGGGGATCGGGTTTCGGGTTTAGGGTTCAGGGTTCAGGGTTTAGGGTTTAGGGCTTAGGGTTCAGGGTTTAGGGTTTAGGGTTTAGGGTTTAGGGTTTAGGGTTTAGGGTTTAGGGTTTAGGGTTTAGGGTTTAGGGTTTAGGGTTCAGGGTCAGGGTCAGGGTTCCTACTACCCTAAAAAGCCCTTTTCAGAATAGTCAACACACATATTCTGTATAGACCTCACACATACACTGCCTTTTTTTCCTAAGTCACCCCAAAATGGCCCCTAAACCCCTAAGCCTAAGCCCTATAGCCCAAAACCCGAAACTTTCTCAGGCTCCAAGAGTCCGTGCCATAAGCACCCTAAACCCTAAACCCTAAACCCTAAACCCTAAACCCTAAGCCCTGGATCCTGACCCTAAACCCTAAACCCTAAACCCTAAACCCTAAACCCCAAACCCCAAACCCTAAACCCTAAACCCCAAACCCTAAACCCCAACCTCCAAACCCTAAGCCTTCCTTTAGACCCTCATTTGGGACAGCTCGGGGACCGGCGCACGTCTTCCTTCCTTTGGGGGCCTGACCTCAGAGGAGAAGCTCTTCTGAAACTGGGGTTGAGGCTGAACCCTAAACCCTAAACTTAAACCCTAAACCCTAAACCCCAAACCCTTGACTCTAGACCCTATACCCGAAGCCCGAAACCCTAAACCCGGAAGACCCTAAATTTGGGGGCTTTAGGGGAAGTCTGGCAGCTAACCTAGGGTTTAGGGTTTAGGGTTTAAGGTTTAGGGTCTGTGTAGTTAGATTGGGGTCGTCACTCTAAACCAAACAGGGTGTCACCCTACACCCCTAGGCGCCTCCCACAAGCCTCAACCCTAAATCTGGAGGCTAAGGGGCTAGGACCCAGAGAAATGTAACATATACTCTGGGCCAACGTGGGGTATAGTACTGTATACGCATTTGTCAGGCTCCTCCGCAGTCCTCAACCTAAGCTGCTATTTGCTTAAGAACCCCAAAAAAACAAAAACACTCTTCCTTGTAAGGGTGTTGTTATTCGTCTTTTTTGGTGGTTGTTCAGCAAATAGTCTTGGTAGCTCAATAACCAAAAAGGCACCCTTTGGGTTGGTTACTTAAAAAGGGAACCCATCACCAAAAAGTTTGGGGTTTAGGGTTTAGGGTTTAGGTTTAGGGTTTAGGGTTTAGGGTTTAGGTTTTAGGGTTTAGGGTCTAGGGTCTAGGGTTTAGGGTTTAGGGTTTAGGGGTACCACCGAACAACCAACGAGTAGAAGGCCCTTGGCGCATCATGCTGTGAGGATTTGGTTTCAAGCACTGTAAGGACTGCAGAGTATGGGTATGGGTCCTTTTGGGGGCTAGGGGGTGGGTACGGGGTTCGGTTTTAAGCCCGAAACCCTAAGCCCAAAACCCGAAACACGAAACCCGAAACCCGAAACCCGAACCCTAAACCCTAAAGTCTAAATCCTAAACCCTAAACCCTAAACCCTAACCCGTTTAGGGTTTAGGGTCCATCCGGCAGCCGGCAAAATCCGAAATTGTGAGCCCCTGAAAGCGTGCGGTGCGGCGTTGCACCGACTCGTCAGACATCATCCGGAGGCCCCTCTCCAAACTTCTCCTCGAACTCACTCTCGAGCCGGGCGAGGTTGTCAAAAGCGTAGACGGCATATTCTTGTTGCTGAAACTTTCCAGGCCGCCAGCATGAAGGCGTTCAGCCTCCAGGAAAGCTCAAAGTGGCGCCAGGCTTTAGCGAGCTGGCTGTCCAAAGCTTTCGCCTCACGAACGCCACGTGGAGGTCCAAACATCGTCGAAAGCACCAATTGTTGCAAAAAGCAAGATGACAGAGGCCAGAAAGTGTCGGGCAATACCTGCAAACTCCAATCCAACAGAATAAAGTGGCAGGGTGTACTCCGGATTCTGTGTGCATGGGGTCAGGCTTGCAAGAATGTACTTGATAGGGCTAGATCCACGTAAGCCCTACAAACCTAAATCCTATAAACCCTGAGCCCTATAGACCCTAGACCCTATAAACCCACTTTGGAATCCTATAAACCCTTGAACCCTGTAAACCCTACACCCTGGACCCTCTGAACCCTAAACCCTAAACCCTGAACCCCCAACCCTCAACCCAGTACACCCTGAACCCTCTGAACCCTAAACCCTAAACCCTCTACCCTACACCCTGCAAACCCTACCAGCCCTATAAACCCTACAAACCAAAATCCCTAAACCCTAACTCCTGCAAACCCTATAAACACTAAATTCCTATAAACACTAAAAACCTTAAATGCTACAAACCCTAAACCCTAAACCCCAAACACCCTCAACCCTAAACCCTAAACACCCAAAACCCTAAACCCCAAAAAGGCATGCCAGCCGAATGGCTCGCCGTCGGGCCATAGAACTGTGGAGGCTCGGGGCTGAAAACCACCGGAATGCCCCACCTGGGTTTAGGGTTTATGGTTTATGGTTTAGGGTTTAGGGTTTAGGGTTTAGGGTTTAGGGTTTAGGGTTTAGGGTTTAGATTTTGGGGTTTAGGGTTGGGGGTTTGGGGGTTTGGGGGTTTGGGGGTTTGGGGGTTTGGGGGTTTGGGGGTTTGGGGGTTTGGGGGTTTGGGGGTTTGGGGGTTTGGGGGTTTGGGGCTTTGGGGGTGGCTTTGGGGCTTCGGGGCTTCGGGGCTTTGGGGCTTTGGGGCTTTGGGGCTTTGGGGCTTTGGGGCTTCGGGCGTCGCACAAAGCAAGGGCTCAGGGCTTAGCTATGCTTTGGGTTTTAGGTTTAGGGTTTTGGGTCTGGGCCTTGTCAAGTGCGTAAGCCGCAGGTCCTGCCGATGGCTTGGCGGCTAAGATGTTCCCTCACTTTAGTGTAAAGTCTGCTTTTGACTCCTGAAATTCCAGATCAAGAGGCAGCAGTCGGGCAATGCAGGTTCGATGCAATGCACCAAAAACCATTTATGGGCCCTCTTACGGGTACCCCCAACACTAAACCCCAAACCCCAGACTCCCAAAACCCTAAACTCCAAACCCGAAACCCTCAACCCTAAACCCCAAACCCTAAACCCCAAACCTTAAACCCTAACCCTAAACCCTAGACCCCAAACCCCAAACCGTACAAAAACTAAACCCTAGATCCCGAACCGCAGCAGCATTCGGCCCAAGGCGCTTCTTCTTCTTGCGGCTGCCGGCCGGATAGCCGTACCTCTGCCTCAGCCTCGGTTCTCTTGCGGGGGATCCTTTTCCGACTTACCCCAAAACCCTAACCCCTAAACCCTAAACTCTAAACCCTAAACCCCAAACCCTGAACCCTGAACCCTAAATGTCCAACCTCAGGTTTAGAGCTTAGGATTCTTTGGGGCTTGTCTGGGGCCGGTCGGATCCCTCAAGAATTCTTGCCGCGCTGGCATGTTCCCCCTTATACCAACAGTCCTTAATCGGGATGATGATAGGGTTTAGGGTTTAGAGTTTGGGGTTTAGGGCTTAGGGTTTGGGGGGGGGGGGGGGGGGTAGGGCTTCGGGTAAGTCGGGGCTATTACAATCCCTACAAAGGACTGCTAGTATACGGGTGACCAAGCTACGGGTTTAGCTGGGTTGGCCTTTCTAAACCCTCTGAGAACAGGGCCCGCTATGAACGCACAAAACCCAAAAAGCCCTAAACCCCACACCCTAAACCCAAAAATGTCCCCAAAGCCAACCTAGTTTGGGTTGGGGGGGGGGGGGTTGGGGTTGAAGGTTGAGCTGAGGATGCTTCAGGATTTAGGGTTTAGGGCTTAGGGTTTAGGGTTTAGGGTTTAGGGTTTCGGGTTTGGGGTTTAGGGTTTAGGGTTTAGGGTTTAAGGCTTAGGAGGTTGTAGATTGGCAGAGCATGCGAAGTGGCAGAGCGACGCGACGAGCTCGCGGAGCTGCGCCGCGGCCGACTCTGCCGGAGGCGGCCGTGTGGAGTGCCCTAAACCCTAAACCCTAAACCCTAAACCCTAAACCCTAAACCCTAAACCCTAAACCCCAAACCCTAAACCCTGCTCTCGTTCCAGCGGTGCATAAAAGGGCCAGCGCAATTAGTTCTCTGGCCATGTGCGGAGGGGGGGCTTCATGTCCGGCTGCAAGTCTGCGGAGTCTTGTTCCCAACGGATACCTGCGTACGAACATCTCTGCCCTTGCCGCCTAAACCCTAAACCCTCAAACCTGAACCCTAACCCCCAAACCCGAAACCCTACATGACCCTAAACCCTAAACCCTAAACTCTCGTTCAAAAAAAAAACGATCTTGGGCCCCAGACTTCAAGTGACAGAGCCATAGCAACATCCGAGCAAGGGACCTGCACTCCCTGCACTCCCTGCACATCAAAGCCCCAGACCCAAGCACCCTCAACCAAGGCCTAAACTGAGCTCCTACACACACACACACAAAAAGAACAAGAATGCACACACATACACACACTTTTACTGTGAACGTGAAAACCTCAACCCGTGAACCCTCCACTCGCTGAAGCTTAAACCCCCTAGGCCCTGACAAACCAAAAAAAACGCCTCTACCTCGATGACCGACAGTTTAGCAGCAAGTGCCTCTCAATTCGCATGTCGCACCCCACATGCAACTGGGAACTGACTAAACCCGAACTCCTGGGTTCAGGATTTTAGGGGAAAGCCCCCTAAACCCTGTCAAATCGCGCGTGAGGCTGTGGCGTATTGCGCACGCGACGGGTAAGCCCATCGCCTGACGGATCGAAACCTTAAGGTTTTTCCAGGAGGAGGGTCCAAGAGGGTTTAGGGTTCAATGTTTAGGACCCAACCCTACACCCATTCAGGTTTAGGCTCAAGTGGGGGAGGTACCCGGGGAAGCTTTGGAGGGGAGGATGCGGGAACCTTGGGATTACTTCCACTGGACATCTTGAACAATGGTAAATCCGGACCCTCGTTAACGTAACGACTTCGACAAGAAGTATGCACGTGTGTGCGTATACATATACAAGAGAAAAAAAGAGAAAGTGCAAGAGAAAGAGAAAGAGCAACAGCAAGAGAAAGATAAAGAGACATAGAGAAAAAGAGCTACTCCTTACATAACTGGACTCTGAGTGAGTTTTTGCAAACTCTGCATCCTCCGCATCTGCCTCGTCCTCCGGGCCTGGGTCATTTGCCTTGCCTGCAGGCCCCTCACTCGCGGCAGCATTTTGCTGCACTCGGAGGTTCATCGTACTTATTAACCAATTGCTACTGTACTTATTACCCACTTATAAGCCCCTTAAGTCCCCAAAGATGGTTATGCAGCTACATTTGGTTAAGAAGTACCATGAACCTCCAAGAAGAGGCAAGCCTGGCAGTGGCTTCTGCGTGTCAAGTTCTCGCCGTCCACTTGCAAGAAAGTACCATGTCTGGCCGCAGGCTCATCCCTCCCGGCCGAACAGCAACTCTCTCGTCAGTCATTGCCCTAAGCCCTAAACCCTAAACCTAGCTCGCCGTAGCCCCCACTGGCATAGATTGGGTGCTGGGGTGGGGGGGGGGGGGGGGGCGTTTGGCTTCGGGCTGGATTAATGGTTCCCACACTTGGTGGCCCCACATTCTACACGCATTTCAAGACTTTCTGATAGAGGGAACATTCTAAACAACACCCGAAAATTAAAAGCCCTGAATTGTCCGGTCCAAGGCCCAGAGATTGATACCAGCCAGAATGATGTTCAAGACTAGCTAGGCATACCTGCCAATCCTCCAAAAAAGATTCGGAACCAGTCTTCTGAATCGGTAGGGAAACCCTGAAACCTGAAAACCCTAAACCTCAAACCTGAAAACCCTAAACCCTAAACCCGAAACCCTAAACCCTGAACATCCCTAAACCCTAAACCGGTACAAGTACCTAGTCAAAAGTTCACTTCTCCGCATGGCCTTCGACACGCGTCATGTCCTCTTCGCGGAAGAGGGTAGGATCGACCTATACCAAGGCCGTTGCAGCTGACCCTATGGGGTTTAGGGTTTAGGGTTTAGGGTTGAGGGTTTAGGGTTTAGGTTTTAGGGTTTAGGGTTTAGGGTTTAGGGTTTAGGGTTTAGGGGCTTGGGGATTGGGGCTTAGAGTTAAAGAGTCTAGGGCTCAGGGCTTGCGACGGTTTGGCGTTGCAAGCTTATAGGGATTCAGAAAACCCTGAACCTGTAAACCCCAACACCCTGAACTGTAAACCCTACCTCCTCAACCCAACCACCTGAAACCCTACAGCGGTGAGCCTTCAAGAATTTAAACAACCCCCCAAGCCCTAACACACCCCCAGACCCCAAACGCCAAACTCTCAAACCCGGAGCCCCGAAACCCAGCTTGGCCCTTTAAGCTCTCTGAAGAGCAGTTCCGGTATGAGATCCTCCTAGACCCAACAAAGGAAAATTTGAAACGCCCCCAGGGCCTGCCCAGGAACCCTAAACCCTAAACCCGAAACCCAAAGCCCAAACCCAAAACCCAAAACCCTAAACCCTAAACCCTGGCATCTCACGCCTTGCCGCCCAGGCCGCCCGAGACCACGACCGGGATCTGCCGGGTCCGGCCTCGAGCTGGCGTGTTCAGGGTGCGGGGTCTAGGGTTTGGGGTTTAGAGTTTAGGGTTTAGGGTTTAGGGTTTAGGGTTTAGGGTTTAGGGTTTAGGGTTTAGGGTTTAGGGTTTAGGGTTTAGGGTTTAGGGTTTAGGGTTTAGGGTTTAGGGTTCCGGGATCTGTAGTTTTCCATGGGCTTCAAGACTCAGGAGTGATGGGGTTTGGGGCTTAGGGTGTAGGGTTTGGGGTTTAGAGTTTAGGGTTCAGGGTCTGGGGCTTATAGATGGACTTCCCAAACCCCAAACCCTGGGCTTAGGGCTTAGGGTTTCGGGTTTGGGGTTTATGGTCTAGGGTTTAGGGTTGAGGGCTTGGCGCTTATGGGTTTGCAGGGTCTAGGGGCGTAGACCCTGAACCCGAAGCCTAAAACCCCAAAGCGAAGCCCCCAAACCTAAACCCTAAACCCTGGACACCAAAACCTGGGTGGAGGGTGTAGAACCCCAAGAGCCCCAAACCCTAAACCTGACACGCCCAAACCATAATGAACGAAACTGTTGGTCTGGGAAGGTTTAGGGGTTGATGAGATTCCAGGGCTCCCCACAAATAAAGGGCGGTCTTTTTTGGTATAAGGAGGATCCCCCCCTGAAGCCCGAAACCCTGAACCCTAAACCCCTAACCCTAAACCCTAAACCCCTAACTCCGGGTCCCCGGAGCCTGGCGGAACCAACTTCCAGGCTTCACTTGGCAGCAAGCACATCAGCACGGACAGCAGGTGCACCGAGGGTCTTTATCGTTGGCACTGCATACCGTCCCACTGCGAAGCTCGAGGCAGATACGGGCCAGGATCGAGGGTCGAGGGTCTAGGGTCTTGGGTCTTGGGTCTTGGGTCTTGGGTCTTGGGTCTTGGGTCTTGGGTCTAGGGTCTAGAGAGGGTTTAGGGCCGGGTTTTGGGGGTTAGGGGTTGGGGGTCCTCCAGCAAAAAGCCTCGACGTCCCCCAAGCTCACTTACACTGCAGGCTCAAGGCTTCGGGCTTACGGGCCGGCTGCGCTCCCGCAAACGCGGTCGGCTTTCGGGAGCCGCTTTCGGGAGTTAGGGTTTAGGGTTGAGGGTTTAGGGTTTGGGGTTTAGGGTTTAGGGTTTAGGGTTCAGGGCCAGACCTGAACGGAATCTCACGGACGTCGCTAGCTCTGCAGAAGTCAGGTAGCCATAGTGGTGGCACCTGGTGCTTGGGCTGCACCAGGAGCCACACGTCGCCAGGCACTCCGTATCTGCCCTAAATCCTAAACACTAAACCCTAAACCCTAAAACCCTAAACCCTAAAACCCTAAAACCCTAAAACCCTAAACCATCAACTCTACATCCAAACCCGAAACCACGACGACTCCGAGGTGCACTGCTTTAGGACCGCCGACATTCACGTCCCGTGGGCCCATGTTGGGGGGGGGGGGTCCCGAAACCTACTTGGACACGCGTAACCCAGTTTTAAGGGTGGACAGAGCTCACTTATAAGTCCTAGTTCTGTACCCTTCCAGTGTTACAATTGTAATACGAGTACAGTTATGATTAGGGTTTAGGGTCTAGGGCTTAGGGTTTAGGGGTTTAGGGCTTAGGGTTTAGGGTTTAGGGTTCAGGGTTTAGGGTCTTCTGATTCCATCCTACCCGACCCTGCCCCACCCCAAGATAAGGCCCAAAACAAGCATAGCCAAGCCCTCTTTGTACCTCATCTTGGGTCAAGTTGGGGTGAAATCACATTAACGCAATTGAAGCCTTACCCAAACCACACGAAGCCTGACCTAGCTTCTAAGCCTTGTAAACCCTAAACCCCAAACCCCAAACCCCAAACCCGAAACCCTAAACCCTAAACCCTGAGCAAACTTGGTCCCGGAACAGCCATGGATCAGCTGACACTTGTTGGCCACGCCGTCGATCGCGTCAACCACGACCTTCGATACTCCGGTTCAGCGTTTAGGGCTGGCTTCCGAGTTTGCGTGGGGGTTCTTAAACCCTAAACCCTAGACCCTAGACCCTAGTCCCTAAACCCTAAACCCTGAACCCTGAGCCCTAGACCCCCCCGCCCCCGCCCCCCCCCAAGCCCCCCCAAGGTTGCTACGGCTTCAGGCTTTTGGGTGCTGCTTTAGGGCTTCGGCTCAGGCTTTTCTGAAGGATCCTTACCTGTGGCTTTGGGAGTGCATGGTATTACGGGCTGATATTGGACCTGAAGCCATTGAATAATAGTTTGGGGTCGCCGGCCCTGTGGGATGTGCGGTCTGCCAGCATCTTGCACCTGCTCTTTCTGACTGAGGGTGAGGGTTTTGGGTTTTGGGGGTTGGCGGTTTTGGGGTTTAGGGTTTAGGGTTTTGGGTTTAGGGTTTAGGGTTTAGGGTTTAGGGTTTCGGGTTTCGGGTTTCGGGTTTCGGGTTTCGGGTTTCGGGTTTCGGGTTTCGGGTTTCGGGTTTCGGTTTAGGGTTTAGGGTCTAGGGTCTAGGGCTTAGGATCTAGGGTCTAGGGTCTAGGGTCTAGGGTCTAGGGTTTAGGGTTAAGGGTTAAGGGTTAAGGGTTAAGGGTTAAGGGTTTAGGGTTTAGGGTTTAGGGTTTAGGGTTAAGGGTTAAGGGTTAAGGGTTAAGGGTTAAGGGTTAAGTGTTTAGGGTTTAGGGTTTAGGGTTTAGGGTTTAGGGTTTAGGGTTTAGGGTTTAGGGTTTAGGGAGGGTTTAGGTTTAGGGTTTAGGGTTTAGGGTTTAGGGTTTAGGGTTTAGGGTTTAGGGTTTAGGGTTTAGGGTTTAGGGTTTAGGGTTTAGGGTTTAGGGTTTAGGGTTTAGGGTTTAGGGTTTAGGGTTTAGGGTTTAGGGTTTAGGGCAAACGCCAAAACCAGCACATCCCCTGAGACCTTAAGTCCTCAACCCTTAAGCCCCAACCCTCAAATCCTGAAGCCCTTGAAGGCTTACGGCCTTGCAGCCCTTGAAACTTTACACCCGTCAAGCCTTAACGCCTTACAGGTTTGAAGCCCCTGAAGCCTTAGACCCTTTAAGCTTACCCCCCTTAAGTCCCCTAACCCTAAACCCTAAACCCAAGTGAGGGAATCGAGGGAATTGAGGGAGTTGAGGGAATTGCGGGCTTAGGGTTTTTTAGGACTCAGAGTGTCCCCCCAACAAAACGTCGTGCCTTGCTTCCCCAAATAGTTTTAGCCTTCTACTGGGAGCTCTTCAGGGCTTATGTCCCAAAATAAGCGTCGGAACCCTTCAAAGAGGTCCCGGAAACAGTAGTGCCCAATGGCGCAGAAAGAGTACAGATCTGGGAACAATGGCAAAGCTGTAGTCCAAGTTCCAGTAGATGTTCGATGTTTGTCATTCCATTTCAACAAAAGGGTCAGTCTGACGTCTGACGGTCAAAATCATCGGTGTCGTAGAATTGTCGTCCCAGAGGGTTCATATACCCTCTATTCATGGACTTAGGGCCCTACAACCATAAAATCATGGTATATGGACACTTTGGGATTATGTTTTATGTGGGGTTGATCAAATTATGGGCCCTTTTTGGCACCCTAAACGATAAGGAGTATACCATAATATAGACCCCCCAAAGGGCCCATCATCTTGATCAACCCCCATGTTGATTCCATCTACACGCAGACGTCTTCTTATCTACTTTGTATTCGAGCGGTCCCCATTGCTTAATTCGGCTGAAAGCACGCAGCTCGATGAGGACTTCATCGGCAAGGTTGCTGCTCTTTTGCGGGCTGCGAGCACAAAAAGTTACTCGGAGGCCCCCTGGCCACCCCTAAAGGGATCCTCACGTGGCCTAGAGTATAATCGAGTTTTCTTAGCTAACCGATGTGCATCCCTTTGGGGAGGGGGGGGGTTCGTGGTGCATGTGTGCGCACAAAGGTGTCTGCTGTGCTAGCTGTAAACGAGAGTCGGAATCAGGAGCGAATAAAATCGGGAACCAGCGCGGCACGAGTCCGGGGAGTCGGGAACCAACAAAAACAACCTAAACCCCAAACCCTGTCATGATTTACAACTTTTACCTGCCCGGTTCTAGACTCTCGCTTTCCTGTGACACACGGTACCGAACAAACATCCGTGGTTTCTGAATTAGGCAGCGCCCCCATGACAGGGACGCCAACCGCGACAGAACATTAAAGGAAGTGTGCCACCAACACTGACATTGAAATCGTTGCCGCTGGAAGGAGGCTGAGGGCACGCGCTCCGTCTATGCTGTCGCAGCATGACTCGCCCACATTATTGGTCCTGCACGTTTCGCGATGCGTGAAGAGAACATCCATTGCGATCATGCCATACTGATCCAGGCATGCCTGCTTGCAGTCATCGACGGATGCGAGCTCATGGCATGTCACCCTCGCCTTTGTTGTCGTCGTAGTCGTAGCGCAGGCAAAGTCAGCATCGCAACAAAACATCCATTCATCAGTTGTATCCTCCCGGGTTTGGCACAAACAATCTTTGACAGCGTATGTGATTTGTGACAAACCATGCACGGCCGTGCATGTATCCCGACACATATTGAAACTAGTAACCGTGTCGCACCGTGGGAGCCCGGTCACATTCTCGGTGACGTTCTCGGTCAAATTCACGCTCACCGCGCCGTCGAGGACAAGCGCGAATGTGAGGATTGACCAAGCCATTGCGCCTTCGCAAGTGACACCTGTGTTTATGTCAGAGCCAGTCGCTGCATGGTACGCAAGCAACAAGCCTTGCTGGTGCTCAAGGGGCTACGGGCTCCGTACCTAGAAAGCCCCACACCAACCCTAAACCCTAACCCTAAACCCTAAACCCTAAACCCTAAACCCTAATTAAACCCCAAACCCTAAACCCTGGTCAGGCTGGTTTCTGAGCCCGGAACCCTAAACCCTAAACCATTGGTATGCGTCCGGAACACTGAGCTCTCCATGCCCGCCCCAAATTAGCTGCGACCCTCAGTGACTCGAAGCTTTCCGGCACCCCCCCCCCCCCCCCCCCCCCCCCCCCCCCCCCCCCCCCCCCCCGCCGCCCCCCGACTCAACAAAAGCGCCACCCTAAACCCTAAACCCTGAACCCTAACCCTAAACCCATTAGGGTTTAGGGCATATGCCAGGTCCCGTGCATCAAAGCGCCTCCGATCCAAGATCAAACTCTCGGTCTCGCTCACGAAGAAGTCTTGCCTCCGGATATGAGCTTACCCTTAACTTCTGCCATGGTCGGCAACCCTACACCCTAAACCTAAACCTCAACCTCTCATCCCTCTTACCGACTGCTCAGTACCGGAATCTTAGGGCAATCACATCCTCAATATTTACATGACCCTTATATACCAAAGCAGGTAAGGGACCCTATCAAGCCACCATGTACCTTCCCTTAGAACCCTAAACCCTAAACCCTAAGCCCTGAACCCTAAGCCCTAGGCCCTAAGCCCTAAACCCTAAACCCTAAACCCTAAGCCCTAGACCCTGTGCCTGTGATGTAGCTCAGACCTGAACTTCAGGACGCCAAGCACCATAGCTCCGAGCCCGAAACCCGCCTTAACCCCCTAAACCCCCCCAAAACCCCCCAAACCCCCCCAAACCCCCCCAAACCCCCCCGAACCCCCCCAAACACCCCTAAACCCCCCCCCCCCAAAACCCCCTTAACCCCCGCCAAACCCGCTAAACCCCCCCCCCCAAACCCCGCTTAACCCCCCTAACACCCCAAAGCCCCTCCAGACTTGGGACTTCCGGGCCCTTTAGCATTGCCTCGAAACTTGGAAGCCCGAAAGTCCTCAGCACTCTTTGGGGGGTTTGGTAGAACGCGGGCGGTTGTCAAAATCATGATCCCTTTTGGGGTACCCTAAAGATTAGGTGCCGTAATGTAATAGGGACCCAACATAATTTGACAACCACCCATGTGGTGTTTAAGGTTCCGGGTGCGGGGGGGGGGGGGCTTTACTCCCTAAAGTTTTCTAGCTCCGAAGGAAACTGGGGCAGGACGTACCCGATATAAACAACCTTTGCGGGTTCAAAGGGGGATGGAAGGTATCTAACTACTTCCCTGGCAGAGCCAGCAACAAAAATCTAAGAATACAAGGGGTGCACCTGCTTGATTTATGAAGCTTGGGGAGGGGGGGGGGGGGGTTGGCTAACCTAAACCCTAAACCCTAACCCTAAACCCTAAACCCTAAACCCTGGAAAAGGAGGGGGGACCCTGAACCCTCTTGGGGCCACGCACGACGTCAACCACGCAGTCGGGGTTGATCTCCCTGCAGGGTGTAGGGCTTAGAGCTTAAAGAGCTTGGGGCTTAGGGCTGAAGGTTTAGGGTTTAGGGTTTAGGGTTTAGGGTTTAGGGTTTAGGGTTTAGGGTACGGGGGGACAACCAAGGAAGGAAATCAACTCCCCTAATCGCCCTGAACTTATATTTCCCAGATCGAACCAAGAAACAACCAAGAACACGGATAAGAGCAACAAGGAAGGGGCACCCTTACACAAGTAGAGGGGCACTAACCCAACCCTCACTCCCAAACACGGACTTTTTTCTTTGGACGGACTGGCCATCCTTGAGCCAAACATAGTTTACGGGTTCATTAACCCTTTCAACTTCCAACACTAACTCCTTTCTACAATACCAATTGCAGCTCCGCACTCCCCCTGTCCTAGGATTTCCTAGGACACATTGGAGATGCAGGTCTTTTGGCCAAAAACTGCCATTAAGGCAGCAGCCAGCTGCTTGAAATGCAAGTTGTGGTTTAACGTCTTCCAGGACTGAATTATAGCACGTTGGCTAACCTACCACCCATAGAGAATCTTTTTTCACCATGATCCTCTCATCACTGAAGACTCCTTGGCCTTCTTCACCACAAACCGTGGTCTTCGCTACGCGAAAAGCTACTTACTTCTACTATCAGGGATTTCCATACCCTTAATAGTAACCACCACATTGTCAGCACATTGGCTGTTCCAGCGCACCCGTCTCCAGAAAGAGAAAAACTATCCCTTCATCCATACCATCCAATCACTTCTTTTTCCGATTGTTGGCAATCTTGAGGTGAAGTTGCAGCAGAATATACTCCAGGTCCGAAACTGTAAGAACAGGATCCTGTACGCCCCTTTGAATTGAGGATACCAATCCTTCTCTCTTTGCGTCCTCAATCGCCTGGCAAGATTGACCCAGCTCTTCATTCGCAGTGGCAGACCCTGGTGCATCCGCATCAGATGGACGATCCTTTTCTTCAGGATCTTGAACCATTACCACCTCTTCTTTTTTGGGACTCTGACTTTTCTCCCTCTTCTTTGTCTTTCCACCGACATTTGACTTTGTGCGCGTCTTCGAGGATTTTTCCACTGCAGAAGCCACCACATTGGATGTTGATCCACCCTTCTCAATGATCGTCGGCATCTTCTTCGGCTTTGGAACCATGAGAGTGTAAGGATCTTCGATAGCTGCAGCTTTCCTCTTCTTTTTTACCTTTTTCTTCTCTTCTTCAACGGCAACCTCCGTCTCCGAAGTCTCAACCACTCCTGTTTCGGCAGGAATATCCTTGCTGGACTCCCTTTCTAGGGATCTCTTTTACCTCTTTTGGGATCCTTTTCCTCTCCCAAATTGGCTCGCTCATACCATATCCTCAGGTCATTGACCCATTCTTCCACCTCCGCGAGCGAAACCTCATACGACTTCACTACTTCGAGAAGTTCCAGCACGGACAACATTTCAGTGGTCCACGAAACCCATACTTGATCCATTTGGTCAGCATCTCCAGTGAACTTCAGGAGTTTGAACAATGGGTCCGCCTCTGCCCGAGCCAAATCTGGCTTGCCACCGGAGAGAAATGAAATCGCCTCCATCAACAGTTCCGTCATCTTGGTCTCTTCGTCATAAACCATAAAATCCTCCTCATCATCATCGAACTGTTCAGGAGAGATCTCCTTTTCTCCACCATTTGCACCAGACTTTCTCCTTGGACCATCCCTTGGGGGCGTCCTTGGAGACCTTGGCCTCTGTTTTTCCAACGGAACACCATGCTCGAAGACACACCTGTCACCAAATCGACACTTCCCAGACCGAGCAAACTGGACGCACCTCACACCAGTTGCACCATGCGAGAACTCACAATCCTTTCCAGCGAAACATTCTCTCCCTGCCACATAGTATTTGCACCAATATGAATGTAGAACCACATCATCTTCGGAATGGATGAATTTGCAGTCGTCACCGAATTTGCAGCGATCTTTCCCCCTGCCGAACCAATAGCAGAAACCCTTCTTCCTCTTCTACAAGCGCTCTGCCTCATACCGGTCAATAGGGCGATTGTGCTCTACATGAACATTGCCATGTACCTGGGGACTGCTCCCTTCACCCGACGTGCTATCAGTATTTGGTGCTTGGAGTACAGCTGGAAAACCTGGCCTTGGTCCTACCACCTTCATGATCGGTTTTCCGCCAACTCCTGAGCCATGCTGAGACGATCCAAAAACATTGAACATCTTCATGAAGGCCTTTCTAGTGCCAATCTTCTGCACCCTTTTGATTGGACATTTCATTGCTCCAACCTTGCATCCAGATGCGTTCAAACGACACAACCTCCTATAACCAACTCTATGTCCCTTCTTCCAAAGAGCCATAAGAATTTTAGAGGCAGTAACATTCTCCACCTCTACCTTTTCCAATGGTCCCTCACTTCCCGGAACAAACCCATCCATATCTGAAGACCTTTCCATCTTTTTTGACACCACTTCGTCGAGGTAGTCTTCTGAGATCCAGGGTAAGTTCCCCTTAGAGGAAGGATTGTCATCATTGTTTGGTCCTTCACCAGGATACCCTTTTGTGCTGTCAAAGATCTTACCAGTAGTGCGGTCCTGCATAGAGAAATTCGAAGCCACGCGGGAGTACACTGACCACAAGAAAATCCTTGTGTCCGCCAGTCTTGATGACCCACTGGATGTCTCCTCTTCCGGAGAAACTTCTGGCGCTTTGCCATCCCCTCCAGTGTCACCACTTATCTCACCTCCAGCATCTTCAATGGGAATAAGGGATTCATTGTTCCCTTGATCAAGCACCGCACCCTCTGGTCCAAAAACTTCCAGCACCGCTGTCGAAGGATCCACCTCTTCATCAGCATCGTCGTCCATCCTTCTCCAGAGAGCCTCCAATTGGTCCGCACAAGTCGCCGCTTGAAGGAACTCCATCAACCGAGCCCTCCCGCGCTGCCAGAGAAATTCCGAAACCATCACCGACCCTTGGGCTCCCAGATTCAGGAATGGGTGAACCATTTTGGCTACCCTCGCCATAAGTTCAATATGAACTTCCATGCCTGGACTGCGGCTCCAATCATAGGCAATTGCCTCCATAGCAGTTCCAAACTTGTCAGTATTCTTGAATTCCCCTTCCAGACCAGGAGACAACAAGGCACCCATCACTGAAAGAGGATAATTCCCCACCGCCGGCAAGCACGGGTTGTCATGGAACGAATGATGCAGGTCAGTATAATGTCCTTGATCTCTCCTTTGAAAAAGGAGTGCTCCAGTCCCTAGCTGGGCATTCATTTCATCCACTTGAACCATTTCAGCACATATCCTCTGTGCCATGTACGCCATTGCTGGCCAGACGGAACGATCGGTAAGACCGCGACGCATAACCCAATCAGTTGTTGGCGACTGAATCAGCGTCCTTGGATCATACACCAGAACAACCATCGCACCGTCACCCATTGACTGATCAGCATCGTCCTCCAGTGCCAGGTTCTCATCCTGTTCGCTTGCACCCTCGGATGACATGCTAATAACCAAATTTCGATCCATCTTATTGGACCCTTTTTGGCAGTCTCTTTGCCCCACCGGCAACTTGCCAACTGCAACCTTCCAATAAATCCGAGTCAGAAGGCCTTTAACCAGCAATTGCTGAAGGTTACTCCTCACCGGACCACCATCCAACATCTTCGCATCATCACCACGGAGGTCATTGCTCCCACCTTCTCCTTCTTTTTGGTCAGTCTCCTCGCCAGAAATCTGTACTGCTCCTTCCGGCGCCGTCTCCTGTCCAGCCACTTCTTGCCCAGGAAGAACTTGAGCGCTTTCAGAGACATTCACCTGTCCAGCAACACCTTGCCCAGGTAAAACCTCATCCGTGGAGCCCACCGCCAGCGAACCAACCATAACTGAACCATCCCTTGCTCTTTTTTGAGACCGTTCAGCTCGACGAGAAGGTTGTGGTAGCGAAAAAACTTGTGAAGTCACTTCTTGGCGGGTCTCCCCCCGCGACGCTTTGTCGCGCCCTTCGCCAAGGTGAACCGATTTTTTCGGCCCGTCATTGGAGCCTGAAGAACCACTTTGCGGAACATTGCCACGATTCGCAGTTCTCTGCGAATCCCTTTCTTGCAAAAAGATTTCCTTCAGGCGTTGTACGGCATTGGTCTCCTCTTCGCTTGAATCGCTTGAGGAAGCGGCATACGAGACCAAAGCCTCCGCCTGTTCATCATCATCCACCACATCTGCCCACGCTCTGCTGAACCGATACGACAACCCACCACGAGGCTTCAGTTCCAGTGGCTTCGGCTTTTCCACCACTTCCGCCGGTTGCACTCGTCGTTGTGACCGAGAGCGTGGCACCTGTCGCACCTGTTTTTTGTCCAGCAAGGGCCTTCCCCTTCTCACAGGGTTTGATCTTGACCGATACTTTTTTGTTGGTGGATTCACCGGCGGCATTCCAACTCCCACCAACCGCAGCTTCTGTACGCACAACGGAGACCTCTGCGCAAGCGTCCAACCATCACGGTACCTGACCTTATCAAAAAGCTCCCGATAGGAGCCTCTCGGCATAGTTTTTGCACCGGAGTCTTCAGCTTCACGCACCTGAGTGAGGGTTCGCACCGCCGCTCTTCCAGTCCCTTTGTTCCCAGAAGATTGTTGTACCCGTACAGATGCATCAGAAGGAACTGCCTTTTCCGGTCCTCCCGGTCGATATCGGACATCACCCACCAATTGCAGAATTTTGCATGCGGTCACTTTGTTGATCCCTTTGTCAACCAAATCTTCCACAAAGATGAACTCTTGCAAGTCCGACACATTGGTCACACCAAGCGTAATCATCACCTCACTTACATGAGGGGTATACACCCACAGGTGTGCGTTGCGAGCCATCCAATTTTCAATTGGCTCCTCCGGATTTTGAAGCTGAGTACCAGTGGATGCAGCCACTGAATTCTTTTGTTCATCAGCTTCTGCTTCATCCAGAGTACCTTTTTCACCATCTTTTTGTGACACATTGGT